ATTTGTACATGAATGAATCACCTTTATTACTACTGACCCTAGAGAGAGAAGGAGAGAGAGAGAGATGGAGTGAAGGGGAAAAAAAGGCAGGGTCAACTCGTTTTTTTTCTGTGTATAGTTTCCAGGCATTTTCCAATGTTATTTTAATGCTGCTGTTGGAAGTTTGGCTCAGTGTGGCTCAATGAGGGAGAGAGAAGTTAAGGCACAGTCCAGACACATAGACCAACAGAGGGAGTGCTGAGAGATAGGATGGAAAGAGAGAGACAGTAAAACAGCACTCATTGTTGTTTAATGGTCTAGTCTTAAAGACCACGTGTCTAAGATGGAGCGGGTAAAAGGTGTAACAGTGGTTAAAATTGACTGCAGACCACACAAACTGGCACATTTACCATGGTCCATGGTCATGTTTACATTTGTGTGCATAAAAGTCCAACACAAACTCAGTAGTAATACACCTTGTGAGTGGAGACATTTTCAGTTTTGCAGAGGCGGATTCAGCTTTAATACAATGCCTCAGCAAGATACGTACACTTATTGTTATTGGAGACAATATGTGGGAAGTTTCAGATTTCGGTTTTTAACTTCGCAACTAAAAACCATAACATTTGACCATACACATCTGTTTGTGCAGCCTTAAATGAAATGTACAGAACAGACTGGTATAAGCTAAAATGTCATGGAGATGGTTGAGAAATAGTCCCAGTTCATTCACAGTAGGTGGAATGCTCCTTTGTTTTGGCTCTGGAGGTAATCACTGTGATTGCAGCTGTGCAGCTATTACAGCTACTCTGACTGAAGAGGCACAGCATGAGACAAAACCACAAGAGAGGAAGAAAGAGAATGACAAAACAAAAGATGAATTTACCTTCTCAAACAATCTTTCACTGCAGACTCTCTCCGGATTCTCTGTTAAACCCGTTTAAAATAACTGTTTGCTCATCATTGTGCTCCATTTTCTGATGGGTCTTAGTGCAAAGTAAAGAAGTGCAAGATGAATGAAGGAGATAACAATCCTAAACTAATCAGTCAATATCAAAATATGAATATATGTAACTTTGAGTTTGTCCTACTTATCACTTAAGTCGATACAGGAAGAGAAGTGAGAAATTCACATCTGTGTTTCTGGTAGTAACACCCCATTTACACACCATATACAGTACACACCTGAAAAATTAATCACAGGTGCACACAGACTAACATTTACACACACAGCACGTTTGATAATCTCACACCTACCTGCAAACTAGGGCTTACCATAATCGAGTACTAACAAAAAATAAAAATAAATAAAATATATAAGTTTATAAATCTTATGATAATTATAAATGTAAAAAAATAATGCAGGAATAGGATGAGAAATGAACACCCAAGTGAAAATGCAGCTAGTTTTAGGGTTAGTCTAATGTTACCTTTTTATGCTGCACAGACTGTAGAGTTTGGCCACGATGGTAACTTGAGCCCCAGCTCAACAAACGCTTTAAGTTCATGGAAGCCATCTCCTTCCACCAAGCTTAATGGAAGCATATCTCCAGTCACCATTTTTGGTAATGAGCTGACTAATCTTTTCTGCCCCGGAGGCATCACAGCGATGCGTGCCAGCACAGTAAGGTGACAAGAGATTGCTTTTATCTGTTTCCGCTCATTTCTTCTTGTGCTTCAAACTAATTGTTCTATGATACACAAGTTTAATGTGACAGGATTGCACTGCATGTTTATATTGCTGAAATACTTCCAAACATTATTCCTATGCCTGACGTCCAAATCAAGTACTGAAGCAAACCAACACATATACACGCACAGACACATTCAAATGTGCTAGAATGGACTCATAGTTATTAATACACAAATACATACATGTGGCATGACTGATCAGTAAGTGGGAACATGTTTAACTGTGCTGTCTCTCTCACACACACGCACGCACGCACGCACGCACGCACACAGGCACGCACGCACACACACACACACACACACACACACACACACACACACACACACACACACACACACACACACACACACACACACACACACACACACACACACACACACACACACAGAGTGTGGCTGTAGCTACCCTTTATTGTTAGCCAATGAATCACAGCAGTCAAATCCAACACTTGACTCATAGATTCACAGCATCGCTACAAGCCCAAGGGAATGGTGCACATACACAAACACAGACACACACGCTGTTCACTATTCTAATGTGACCCTTGAGTCATGTATTCAGACAGAGGAAGTGGTCTGGCCAAAAGGCATGCTGGCCCTGGGGAGTCATTATCACTGTCTGTTCTGTGTTGCATTTTCCTTCTCTCTCTTTCCTTCTCTCTCTCTCTCTCTCTCTCTCTCTCTGGGATGTCAGTAAAGGGAAGAAAACTAAGGAATATTAGACATAAAAACTATGTGCAGCCCGGATTCCCAAACTATAAATGCTGATGATGCTTTTAACTAAACATCAAAAGTCACCTAATCTATCTCCTTTGACTATATAAAAAGAACGTGAAAACTTTAAGTTGTGGTATTACTCTGTGCTGTGTGAGATTTGAAAAAGATTTTTTTATTTGACAAGCTTTCACACGTTATCATATTCCAAGCCACACTGAGTATTTCCAAGCTGTCACTCTGTATGCTGCTATCAATCCATTTTATTCTTCTTGTTTTTTTTATGTGTTTGACTCGACAGTTTTTGAGTCAAATAACAGATGACTGGTAGCAGGGTATCAGGATATTGGTGAAAGCAATTTATTTTGGAGTTGCTTTATTTTTACTTGTTAAATAAAACAGACACTTAATTTGACACATAAATGACAGTTTGAGAGCTTGTTAATAAATCCAGCATAGCAGGTGTCAGCTCCTTGCACAACAAGTGCATACCAGGGTTTATAATTGTTTGGGTGTTGTTGTTTTCTTCTTTGAAGTTCTGGCTCATTCTCTGTTCAAATTCACCAATGATTTCACCTGCAAGTGACAATTTCCAAGAATAGATATTCTTACGTTTTTTGCTTTTGTTTTCCCTTTTGTGAATTGTTAGCAAATTCTAAGTTTCTGAAATCAAATATGACACCAGAAAAAACTGTCCGATAATATCAGCTGATAACACGAGTGAATAGTGTCTAGTTACTTTTTTTAAAATACACAAATTAAGCAAGTTTCTCCTCCCATAGTTACGCTACCTTGCTGTAGCAGTGGCAAAGACCAAACAGCTTTGAGGCTTATGGTTAATGATAGACAGGAACAAACACACATGCATACAAATACACAAACGGATATGCACATCAATCAAAAGACTCGGGGATAATTAGCCAGATGATGAGCCGGTATGGGATTAACTGTCAACACTGCCTGGTTGGCTGGTCATGTGGTCAACAGGAGCCAATGAGCCCTAAGGGGATTTTCTCTTCTAATGAGTTACTGAATATGAAATACACACACACACACACACACACACACACACACACACACACACACACACACACACACACACACACACACACACACACACACACACACACACACACACACACACACACACACACACACACACACAGGTATACACAACCTTTATTCGTATGGCCCAGGCAAAGAAAGAACCTTAAAGTATAGGTTAAAGCAGAAAACAAAAGAAAATCAGAAGAATAGGGTATAGAAAGGAAAGGGAACAGAGGAGTCCCAGAGATTTACACCATAAATGATTGTCTACACAGCTATTTGTTGCTGTTGGAAAGGGATTTGTGCCCACAATCACTCTCACAGTTTGCCTCTTGCATGTGTCAAATGATATTTGAAAACCAACAGCTTTGGTGCAATTATTTTAAAGTCTAATTGGCACTAATATGGAGAACTGGCATCATTCACATCCCTGGCTCTTCAGTGACAGACACTACAGGTCTATGTGGAATAACAGAGGATCTGTGGCCCAAATCTCCTGTCAACCATGTCAGGTGCCATAATGGAGGTTCATTGGAGATAGAGCTGTGTGCAAATGATGCATCCATATATGATAACCAGTGGGCTGGGAAAAGAGATATCTGACACATAGGTTTTGGTCAATTAAGTGACTTTATTGCCTTAAGTGAAGTGTACAGTAATCAGGCACCTCAAGCGACCGAGACCACACAGCTTGACTCATCTCAACCAAGTAGTGTTAGTCATCTAAACATCTGCAGTTAACCATACCATAACCATGAAGATCTTGGCATCATTTATTTCATCCCTTCATTGCTCGCAAATTCATTTTTACAACAAGCTCATATGCCAAGACTTTTCATTGAAATTGCACTCAAGGCATTTCATTGGCATTCATCTACAGTTTCTTCTAATGAGCACGTTTTTTTTGCTTCATAGTGCAGGACTGTTGATGGACACATTGGATTTTGTTCAGATCAAATTCTGTCTTATAGCTGCTGATTCATTCCCTGCAGAGGCAAAGATCCCTGAATCATCACCTGTACAGCGATCAGTGCACTGCCAAACAGACCAAAGTCAAACCCACATAAAGGGGTCTGAAGGAGAGTCATGAAGCAATATCTTCCTTTAATCACTTTCATAAACCATCATTTTGCTTTACATTACTTTAATTGTATTTGAAAGGGCTGTAAATAGAGCAATCCAATGACCTGGTGTTGTACATGAGCTGTATCTCCCACACGGAATCAGTCTGTGTCTAATTGAATTAAAGCTAATGAGTTCACAGACAGCATTGTCTGGGTAATTAGTACAATGTCCTAATCAACACAACAAATATTTAAGAAGTCAGATCTCCAACTGCAGTTGATTAACATTGCCCTCTTTAGCAGGCAGCGATGAGTGATTACTCAACTGTTCATGTTGTTTTTGCTGTTAGTTTTAAACTAATATTTTTAATAAAGATTAATGTGTTTGCAAGGCAAAAATTGTATTAAACTGAATGTAAATATGCTCAATTGTATTGTCTTTTAAGCAGTATTTTCATTGTTATGACACATAACTAAGCAGCTTTCTCCTCTGTTCTCTTTTAGGCTTTGTGATTAGCAGAGAGAGGGAGCGAACAAACTGTGACAGAAGAAGAAGAACGAGGAGAAAAAAGGCAGTAACGTGATAGTTGGTGATGAATATTCGCACCAACAGGCCCCATCTCAGCTAATGAACTAGGAAGTTCATCAACAACATTTCGTTAGCAAAAACAGGATATCACCTCAGTGGGAGCGGAGCTCCACTGAGAGGAACAAGAAAGTAGTGGGCGGAGTTAAGTCCACGGTTGCTCAGGTTGGGCAATATGGCGATGCTGAAGCGGCAAGGCTTTGGGCTGATGAGGGTCTTTCTGGTGCTGGTTGGAGTTTCTGCGCTCTGTAGCGTTGCATTAGGAACCCGGAAAGGAAATGCTTCTTTGGATCAAAGGGGCCACAGACACAGACATCCAGGTATGTTACAAGCAACGTTTTTTTTATCATTTGGCTTTAACATGTCTCATGTCACAGGAATTTTTCTACATCTGGCTAGATGATACTCACAACCTTCAACTGTAAATCTGACGCATTCTGAACTCTAATTTTGGTTTGACCTGTCAAAACACAGTCAGCCACTTCCTTCATGATATTTGTACATTTTCAAACAGATGATGCCTGCTCCCTTTGTGTCTATGAGTCACTTTGTACTTCAGAGTCCTGCATTTTTGTGCTCTGTGTACACAAATGTTACCATCCAAGCTCTGAACCAAATGTTAACTTGAGGGAGTTTAAATATTCCTTTCCCTTTACATCTCTTTATTTTCCTTGTCAACAATGCAATCTCTTACTCTGAACATCTTCCAAGATAGTTTGGATTATCAGATCCTCAGTGCATCTTGAGTGTTACATCTGGGTTCTATCCAATTTCAATCGCTTTTTGTTTTTACCTTTACCTACATGGCAAAGATTTATTAAGCTTTTAATTTTTTTCCATCAAGACAACCTTCAATTACAGATGTTCACATGGCAGATGCTCGGTACAACTACATCCTGCTCCTATTAGCCACTGAGCAGCTGCACTGCAACAAACAGAGGTTAAGTGCCTTGCAAAGAACCACCTAAAACACTGCTTGTTGAAGCGTGTGTCGTTCACACCACCCACCCACATTTTCTCAGCTGGGATTTGAACTGGTGACCCGTAATTCAAAAGTGGGCCTCTCTGTTCATGAGGTTACTGCTTCCCACCCACTTTTGCAATCAGTCTATTGAAGATATGCTCAGAAAATGATCTGCAGTTGTGATAATTCATTCATGCAATTGCATGCACAGTGTGACCCAAATGAGCCTTTTAATTTTGCTTCCAAACATTTAAAATTTGAATGACAGCCCACAAGAAATGCGCCTTAGACTTATATTAATTAATGTTTGTTTTTGTGTTTGCAGGTCACTTGTCGCTGCATAAACACAGACAGAGGGGAGGGAAGGAAGGGCAGGTACTCCACAGGTCCAAACGAGGATGGGTCTGGAATCAGTTCTTCGTCATTGAGGAGTACACTGGACCTGACCCAGTGCTGGTGGGCAGGGTAAGCATAATGAAGCATGAGCTAATAAAGCATTCTTGCTATTTAATTTAGCCAAACTGCCCTCCACTGCCAGTCATGGCGGGGGCATTCAGGGTGATGGCAAATGACTAACTCCAATAAGATTTTAAAGAGCTTTTCCCATTCATCAAGGAGAGAGACATAGAAAAAAAGAGAGAGGTCATGTTCTTCAAGGGTGAAAATGATTGGTGGTACTCCTCCACAACAACATCACTCAAACTGCGCTGCGGTTTTCATAACAAACAACAAATAATGTTTACAATGCATCATATTTCATGGTCTAGAGGTTGTAAAGGAAGAACAAGAGTTTAATTGAATGTTGAACATTCTTCAATTTTTTTTTGACAACGTTTTAAATCTCTTACTTATTAGTGTTTGCCTATCTCACACAGCACATCAACTACCCTGTCTAGATCACCCGTGGAGCTCCTTTAATTTAACTTGAGAAATAGAAGCATAATGTCACATCTGCCAAGCAGCCAAGTTACAGTATGTTTTCCAGTTTTGCCTTTCGACCAGACTACCTGTCTCGCTCTGTAATCACCAGTCTCTTTTTCTCTTTAAGTTACACACCGTCTGAAATCCAGATGTTGTCAGCCCCAATCATGTCCTGCCTTTGCATATGTCTCTGTCTTTGTTTGCTTTCTGGTTTGTCTCACTCTCTCCTCATCCCCCCCCCCCAACAATTCAGCTCCACTCAGACGTAGACTCAGGCAATGGCAACATCAAGTATATCCTGTCCGGTGAAGGTGCGGGAACAATCTTTGTTATCGATGACAAGACCGGCAACATCCACGCCACAAAAACCCTGGATCGCGAGGAGCAGGCCCAGTACACTTTAACAGCCCAGGCCGTGGACAGGGACACTAATAAGCCTCTGGAGCCTCCATCAGAGTTCATAGTGAAAGTTCAGGACATCAACGATAATCCTCCTGAGTTTCTACATGGGCCGTACTATGCCAGGGTGCCTGAGATGTCCAATGTTGGTGAGTAGAAAAATGAAGGGTAAGGGAACAAGAGGGTAGGTCTGGAGCTGGGGTAAAGGCTTAGGTTGAATCCGGAACCCTAAAATGTCAGTGAAAGCGAAAAGGAGGGCTGCAAATGGGTTTAATTTCTGATTGATACTATGATGTGTTGCAGAAGACTAGGGCATCATCTAGAAAGGTGTATAATTGCTAGCTAAGCATTTTAAGTTACAGAGTAATGTCTATCCAAAATGCATACTGTGTGCTTGGGTTACAAGTAGCGAGAGGCGGTAAAATGAAGATCCAGTCGGAGATATTTATATTTTTTTGGAACTAAAGCCTAGGTATATATCTGTGACCAGCAGATGTGTTTTCTTTGTACAAATATCACATATATTTTTTATAACAACAGCGATTGAAAACATACAATCAAATTTGATCTTTTTAGTACAGAAAACTCTCCATTGTATATTGACTGATGTTTGTTAATGAAGTCACTGATGGAGTTCACCGTCATTGTTGTTGTCTGCTAAACAGTCTTTTCCATACATTATTAATTATCACTGAAACCTGACCACAGGAAGTGTGACAGAGACGTGAATAACAGACAGTACCATTCGCTGACACATTCAGAAAAAAACCTGTTTTTTTTTTAATCTTTGTAGTGAGAGGGGGAAAAAAAGTCTCAACCAAAAGAAGAAGAAAGGAAATATTTGGCACTAGGTTGGCATGGGCAAGAGCTTCTACCATCTCCTTAAAGCCTCCTTACTTAGAACTTCTGATCTTGATAGATTTTCTTTCCGAATATTATGTGGTCTTGGAGAGTCTTCAACCCCTCGAGGCTGACCTGAAATGAACCGCACTGGCAGTGGTGCTGCCTGACACTCTGAAAGCCAGAGAAATCCCTTCTCTGAATGGACTGGACTTCCAAAGAAAGAACTTCTGAAAGGACTTCTGAATGAGTTCTGTTCAGGCTTTTTTTTACCCATCACTTCTTAAGCTGAAACCTGAATACAGAAGTCTGGCGGGGGAGGGGGCTGCCGGTTGCCATCATGCTCAACCACAAAAGTGGAACAGAAAGAAAAGCTGCAATTTGACTAACTAGGTCCATGTTCCCTCATGGATGTCAAAATTAGAACAGATAGAGAAGGCAGTCTCTTTCAAATTAACATTCTTGGTAATTTACCCTGTACACTTAAGGTAGCTGCCACATTGAGACCAGGGTTGAATGAAACTTGATTACAGTTGTATACCCAACGGATTTTGAATAGAGTAGGATAGAGATGCTCATGTGGCTGCAACTGAAAACTGAAACAGCCGAAGAGCATATGGAAATAAAAAGTAGTTGAACCAACAAACACAAAAACATTATTTATGTGAAGCACCCAAAAGGCCCCAGCCAATATTGTCCAGTCTCAAAGAGTTTTAAACCTGCAGTTACAACTTGTGCCACCTTAAGGCTAGGAATGTAACAGCTCATACAGCTGAGTCTCATTGTGGCTCCTCCATCCTCAGAGACTGTCCTTCTGGTTGCTTTATACCAAAGAGGTGGTTCTAAACAGATTTTATATGTCCAAAGAAAGTTCTGACTTTGATGGTATTATGCCTGAAAAAGATGAAGTCTTAGTAAAATAAAAAACTTTAATTATAATGAATAATTTACTTAATTAATTTACAAAATCTTCAAAAGTTGACATGTGGTCATATTTTACAGTTACAAGCTGAAATGTATTTTGATTTGAGTAATGCTATTGAATAAAATGTAAAACATGAAAACACAAAAACTACTTCTGCTGCCTAAGATGATACATTCACATCTGCAGGTCTAGACTGATGTTGTTATTTTCCTTTCAAATAGGTAGTGCAGTTTGGCAGTTATAGAATCGGTCTAACAAGAACCACACAGCAGAGAAGTCATTTTGTGAAATTTTTTAGAGAGTTAGTTTTATGGGTTGTGTCACATCTGAAAAATGAAATTTCTTTATGCAAAGCTAATAGAATGTATTTCACACTTGTGCAAATGTAATTCATTTGGCCTATTTGCTCAGCTTAACTGTGTCAAGTTCAGTTAACTGAGATTTAGGGGAAGTAAATTGCTGTTGTCGGGTATAAACAGCCCATTTTCGAACTGCCTCGTTTCTGAACTTGACAACCATCAATTTTTCTTTTTATCTGATGGATTTTGAAAGGTTTTCATAAATCCAAAGGAAATATAATGTTTTATTTAAAACATGAAAATCACCAAAAGTGGAGAGTAGATGTTTCCACATAACAATGATGAAATGCAGGGAAATAATAGCGGAGACCAGCCTCCCAGGTGCAGTTCAGCTGCAGCGTCTGAGAGAAGGGGACGAGTGCTTTACACCTCTCTCATCCAGCCGCCGCAGGCAGGCGAATCGACACACACTCGGCGATAAGTTTGTTTGTCAAACCATTCTTGAACCGAATCACAGGTAGAGTCATCTTGTCGTGTCTGTCCTGTAGGTACGTCCGTGATGCAGGTGACAGCTACAGATGCTGATGACCCCACCTACGGGAACAGTGCCAGGCTGGTGTACAGCATACTGCAAGGACAGCCGTATTTCTCTGTGGAGCCTCAGACAGGTGAGGCTGAAAACGGAACCCTGCCATGCGTTCACAGACATCTGCACCTCAACCACATACAGGCTCAGTGAAAAGCTTACAAATTTATTACATGCAATACAGCAAGTATCACTAAACCTCCACACTCTGGTAAGTACATGCTGAGGTAGCCAGATAGAGAAGTTATACAGGGCCTTCACAATCAGTGGTACAAGTCATAACTGCATATCTCAGTTTTCAGCTACTAATTATCACTACAATAGCTTGTTCGTGCAGTCAAGCACTTCTCTGCAGTTGACTTTATACAGTTCTTTGGATTCACCTTCAGTTAGTAACTCAAGGCAATCAGTACAATTAATATAATCAGTTCTCACAGTTGATTCTCTTACATCTTGATATTGATATGTGATGATATTCTGTATCTTTTTTACAACTGACAAATTCAGCTATGAATACATTTGCAGCTCAAAATGACCTGGGAAGATACAGAAAAGATACAGTCAACAAATTTTAGACCTAGAATCTTTAAGTCTTAGCCATTATTAGAGATATTTAAGTATTTAGAAAAAGAAGTCCCAACATTGTGGACAACAAGCTTTTAACTTTTAGGCACCTAGTGGAAACTGACTGTCACTAAGACCAAACTGAAAACCAGTTTCTTTCTGTAATATTTTTTACCATCTACCACTCTTAATGTAAAAAGACGGGACTCACTGCTGAAGGGATCATGTAACAGCACGTCCTTTCCACTGAAATTGGTGAGGAAAAGAAGGCCCTGCTGTAAAAAAGAGGTCCCCAGAGGACATTCAGCCTGGCCTCTGCAGAGCCAAGGCCTAATATTTGGGTTTGCATTGAAAGAAGAAATTGGATGTGAGGAGAGAGGTTAGGGCAGACATGGAGCTATGTTGGGTCAGGGAGGGTGAAGAAGAACAGAAAAAGAAAGGTTAGGACAGAGAAGTAGAGAGAAATTGGTTTAGAGAGTGAGTCCATGGAAAGAGAGTGGTTAGGGCACAGAGAGGGAGAGAGATTTGGGCAGAGTAAATCTAGCTAATCAAACCAGTGTTGGGTATTTGACTGGCTCAAATCCATAGCTCACATTTCTAATTGGTTTGGAGATTATCAGCTTTTCATGCTGTCACACACACACACACACACACACACACACACACACACACACACACACACACACACACACACACACTTGGCATAATATGACAGTAAAAGTAGCTTCAACTCCCAGACACTGCAGCTCGACATGTGGAGAAAGAAGGAAAAAGAGCAGTCAGTGATGAATTAAACAGATAGAAAATATTACTAGGGCTTGAAATAGAGAAAAATAAGACTTCACGCATGTTTAACTGTTCTTATTAATGTGAACGATGAGTGATGATGTGTTTTCTTGCAAAATGAAATATCTTGAAATTAATTACACCCTCTCTCTAACAAAAGTAAATCACATTGTATGATTTTGCTAACCAACTGGTTCTGTTTTTAAAGCAAGAGTTTTTTTTTTAAATAATAGTATTTGTCATTTGCATCGATACTTGCACAGAAATGTACCCTTTTAGGCAAACATATTTATAGACCCAGGTACAAATTAGTATGTATTTAGTGTAGTATTTAATCTTACCCCCATGCTGCAACAGGGGAAAAAAATTAATCTGGGTATTAAAGTTCACATGAAACGGGAAGCAGAGTGTTATTTGCTTCTGCACATTTATGTATTTTCTGTAAAAACAGGCAACGTGCTTTTGTACAATAATCACACTCAGCACAGCAAAGCCGTGCTGTTGCTAGCCAATGAATCTTTGCTCTGTGTTAAAAAGGCTGAATATTGATTAGTGGATGGATATTATGATATTATTGGTAGAAACTGTTTAAAAACATTATTGGGATACGTTGGTAAATAGGTGTAAAATATGACCTCAGGATGTAACTTAAAGGGTTAAAAACACATCTTTCATCCGTCCTGGACTTTAATTTGATGTCAACATATGTCCACTCAGGTATAATTCGTACCGCCTTGCCAAACATGGACCGTGAGGCCCGCCAGGAGTATGATGTCGTCATCCAGGCTAAAGACATGGGTGGTCACATGGGTGGGCTGTCAGGGACCACAGAGGTTAAAATCACCCTCACAGATGTCAACGACAACCCTCCAAAGTTCCCACAGAGTAAGTACAAACACCTTCTGGATCTGGCTGTCTATCCATCTACCACATGACTGTATGTCAATTTCCTTTGGTGTGACAATTCCTTTAGAGGTGTGAAAGTGTTACCAAACGGCATATCAGCCACATTACAGTCAGTGTGTACTTCCATCCCGCAGCTGCCGATCTGTGCATGTGGGTTATGCCAATCCACAAACACGTGTGTACATCATTTCGCCTGTACAGTATGCACGTGTCTGCGCGTGTAGCTCATGTCACTAGCAAGCAATTTAGAAACTGGGGGAGTCTCTGGAGGAGGGAGGCACAAAAGATAACTTAAGAAATCAATTATTAAAGGTTCTTTACTGGCCCCCTGCAATGTCCGCAGGCATCTGTGTGCATGAGTGTGTGTGTGTGTGTGTGTGTGTGTGTGTGTGTGTGTGTGTGTGTGTGTGTGTGTGTGTGTGTGTGTGTGTGTGTGTGTGTGTGTGTGTGTGTGTGTGTGTGTGTGTGTGCATCTTTAAATCTCTCCTTGGAAAACTTGTTGAATTACTGATTTCCTTAGCCATAAAAACTAGTGAAATATTTAGACTGAATTTGTCAAGAGTTGCAAATTTGATGTTTAAAAAAGGAAAAGAGACAGAGACATAATAGAAAACTTATTTATGGAAATAACATTTGAAACTAAGAAACCTGTAAAAATATTATTTATTCTTATTTTATTCTGCAGGTATTACTCTGAAGTAGTCTTACATTCCTCTGACTATAAAAATACAAATATGATTCATCCTCGGGTAATGCTGGGATTAGCAACCTTGAAGGTGATGCAGTCAAGTAAACAAATAGAAGTTTTCTGATTGCCCTGTCAGACTTAAAGAAACAAACAACAGGAGGGAAACTGTGTCCTTTCTCTGTTTCTTTGTTTATTTGTCATTCGTGGTGGTTTATAGATGGTAAATATGCCTGTGTATTGTTTATGCTCATCCAAAGATTCAATGTTTCTGGTTCACCTGATAGAATAAGGAACAATCTAAACCCCAGCAGTAATTTGCACCACTGTACTCTCCAGTCTACCACTATATCCGCACCCGCTTTCTCTGTACCTGTGTCTATCTTTTCTTTCACCCTGTCTCAAAGTTTCTTTCAGCCTCTCTACCTTTTTTTCCTTTTTATTCTTTCACGTTCTCTCCTCCTGTAGCTCTGAGCCGAGCAACTCCTGGCAGAGATTCAGCAGAGTAGCTGCTAGAATGGAGAATGGAGAGAAGAAGAGACGAGGGCTCAGGATTTAGCCCGTGGAGAAGCTGAATACACAAGAAAAGAGAGAGACACGAGCAGAAGCAGTTAGAGAGGGAATGTAAAAGACAAAGCGAGAGACTGAGACTGTCAAAGCCATCACTCCAGTTTCTGTGCATTCCAATAAGCTGACTGTTTTAGCAAAAATCCAATTCTGTAGGTCGCAATGGACAACAAACTGACAACATTTTGAGGGAGTTTAGAGTGAGAGCTTTATGGGCAACAGAGTTTTTCCCCAAAAGATTATATAGTATGTATGTAGTGTATATTTGGAAAAGTTTCCATACTATGATGTTTTCTTATAGTGCCACGTGCTCTTATATAATGACAGACAGCTAAAAGTTCCACTGATATACACTTTATTAGTTACACTTGTAAATCTAATACAGCCCAATACAACAGCTCAGCCACACACTACCTTTAAAAAGATAATAATGTTTATTATGACTGACACTAAGAGAGGTATTAATAAACATTATCTTCATTACGGTAGAATGTGTGTCTGAGCTGATGTATTAGATCACATGTGTATGTTAAAACCAACCGGGGACTAAAAAGTAGTATTTTTTATTTTCAAACACAGTACTGATCAGGTCTAGGGTCAAGGTTCAAATCACAGACGTACTCACATTCAAGTGTTGTTTGCTCCATTGCTCTGGTTAAAATGATTATAATGGAACAGTTATGCAATGGCAAAATACAGTTTTTGTGAGTGAGTAATGATGGGTTCTCTAACCACAGGCACATCTTTTGTTCCCATATCCAGAGCGAATATAAAACATATTTAAAATAAGATAACAAAGGCAAAATGCAGGTTTTATGAGCAAAGATTATCAGTCATACGTGTCCTCCTCAGTACCTCCTTGCAGTGCTTCTAAATATCAGCTGTGCATCACTGGCAGTTTACATCTGTGATACAAGACAAGCCATCAAATAGCAATATGTTGTGGTAGTGGGTACCCTTGTTTAAAGAAAAAGTGGGAGCAGTACAAACACCTGCAAAAAAAACTCTCCCAGATGGTGTGAATGAGGACAGTGATTACTTATTTAGTAGTTGGGCAGAGTGAGAGAGAGCAGACACAGAAAAAAATGTGAAATGAGATAAGCAAGTCAAGAAGGAGCCAAAGCAAGAAGCAGAAAAAATACAAAAATACAACCGATACAAAGAGAGAAAGCGTAAAGAGATAAAAACAGAGAAAAAGATATATGGCACAGCATGAGTCCCTCTTTTCAGTTTCCATTCAAGCTGCTATATTTTTTTCTTTCGATCCCAGGCTTGATTTCTCTGTTTCACACAGACTATCTGTGCCTGTAATTCTCTCACATTCACTTCATTATCAAGCATCTTTCTTTTGCCACCAAGAAAATCCATCATGGCATAGACAGGAGGAGGAGCAGAAAAACGAAGGCAAACAAGTGATTGTTCTTCAACTCTCTCTGACTTTATTAGACTGACATGACGGAGATGGTTTGTTAAATACCGTCCTTCAAAGCTGACTCTCTCTCTCTCTCTCATTCTTGTTTAAACATGAACAATGCAGAACAAAGCAGAAAAGACATCTGAAGCTGTGAAAGATAATCTTTTGCTTGATATCTGCAGGATTCCATTTGTACATATCATTTACCCCCAGTGTCATTTAGGATTGCTATTACAGAACCGTCTATTTTCATCAAGCCAGAATCTATATAAAAAAATCCCTGACATGACTTGAAAAGATGATTACCATTCTAAAGGCATTACTGTGTCACTGCAGAATGTGAAATCTATCTTAAAACTTTCATTTGAAGTTCCTCCCTAGGTTTAGGAATAAATCTGATGTGTTGAAAATGTTTTAAAACAAAGACAACATCATAAGAACATGAACTGAAGGTTCTCGTGCACAGAATGATGTATCTGCCACTGTATTTGAGTATATCTAGCTGGCCCTTTAAGAATACTATATGCTATGTTGAGTGCAATAAATGGTGACCGTCATCTCATAAGTGAGAAAATTAAAGCATTAAAGCTAAATCCTCCCAATCATGCCAAGTATGCAGTACAAATATGCGCTACATGCTCTCCACAAGTATTTTGTGTGATCAAAAAAATGACAGAGGTTCCCTTAAAGAATCAGTTTAGGGCTGTTAACCACAAAGCATCTGATCGGTCAGTCCACACCCACCGCTGTAAGACCGATTCACACCACAGACACATATTAGCTCTATGCATGAATAAACAACTCTCCAGTCAATACAAAATAATTGCCAATAAATACATAAATAGCTGTGCAGTTTGTTTTTATCTAGAAAAGGGATGCAGGGGTTTAGGGACATAGGCTATGTGCTTTCTATACTAATGGAGGTGATGATAGCAACACATTGTTTCTAGACTTATGTTAACCAGTTTGCCTGCCAAGTTTAAATGACTAATTTACCACATTCAATATAAAATCCATCTATAATATTGTCTACATGATAACACATCAAAGTCCTGAGTGTAAGTAGTAATAAATTGCAAAGTAATAGAAGGGATTATTGTTGTAATTTCAATAATCACATTAAAATTACTGATCTAAGAGATTGTGGTCATTACATGAGTTATATTTATGAGGCTCTTTATTGTTGTTTATATCTAAACTTTGCCAGTTTTATGAGCTTCTCCATCCAAGATTGGACATCTGTGTGCAAACAGCCCAGTCATTTATGTTGGAGTAATGAAAGCAACTAATAACTCCAATATTCTCATATTCTCTCTCTTTCTCAGACAAACTGGTAACATAAAACGTTGGTTTAACAAAAATTAAAGAAGTACAAGTGATTTACGAGTGCATGACTTTACTTTGTTTTAGTAAAGAAACTCTTATTTCCTTCCAGTCCTTGACTGTAAACGTATACTTCCTGTATGTATCGCGCTTCATTTTAGCCTGCAGCCAGGTATGGCAGGATGTCTGTGAGTTCTGTCATACAATGTTTAACTCCGCTTCCAGAAGCCATTGAAGTTAAGCTACTTAGGAAAAGCAAGAATAGAACGACAGGAGAAGAGAGGGAGGAAAAGGGCAAAAGGAGGGCAGGGATGAAATGAGCTTTTAGCCAGAATTGGCAGACAGAAGGGAGAGAGAAGGAGGATGAGGAGGAGGAGAGATAGACATGAGAGAAATAGGGCGGAGAGAGGGAGGAGAGGTGAGGATGAATGGAGAGATTTGGAGGAATGTAGTGGAAACGGGAGAAGCAAATGAGAGATGGAGAGGGAGGGAAATGTGTTACCCAAAGAGAGTCAAAGAGTATGGAGAGAAGTTTAAAAAGCACAGACAGAGATAAAGGGAGAAGATGGAGAGGGGGGGGGGATTTGGTGAGGACTGAAGGAGGTGTGGAGCAAGGATTCTGGTTGGATGGAGTCCCATCAATTGCTCTCCTCTTCCACTCTCAGAAGCCATGCGACCAAATGAATTTAATGATTCACAGGGTTGCCACACCTGGACCACCAGGATAGACATGCTAATAATGTACAACCCACAGAACGATGACTCCAATCTGTGCTCAATGCCTCAACCACAGAGTAGGGGGAGGCGAGAAAGAGGGATTGGGTGAGGGACAAACAAGAATGGGGAGAAGATGGAGGGAAGAAATGAAGGAGGAAGTGACACATTTTGGGAAAAAAAGAGCAATAAGGATGATGGACAGAGGGCAGAGGTGGTTTTTATGATAACATGGACAGCGATAGAAGACAGATAAGATGAAGTGGGGAGAAATGGGGTTGGGGAGGAGTGAGGTGATAAGAGAAAAGAGTACCTGGGAGATGAAAGAGGGAAAAGGATAAAAAGAGGAGAGAGAGTAGACATATGGTCCTACTGCTCTCATTCGGCAAGCCAGGTGTCTGCTCCCTCAGACACGCACACATACACACACCTGACACTATAGGGGATATTAATATCCTTTGGGCCATATGAATATCCTTTGGGCCATATGAGACAGATGGTATAGTTCATGTTAATCCCTCCCTGCCCTCCACAGCTGACCCTGCCTCAGATAGTAAACACAGTGGCAGCCAGCCAGGAATTCTCTAAAGACTGTAAAGAGTGTTGAATACAAAAGCAAGCTGTGACCAGAAGTTGACACTAACATCACCAACCAAGTAAATTCTCTGCCTTTATATATTTATTTATTTATTTTTCCCCCAGGTGTATACTCCATGTCTGTATCTGAGGATAAAGTGCCAGGAGAGGAGGTGGGCCGTCTTAAAGCCAAAGACCCAGACCTCGGAGACAACGGACTGGTGAACTACCGCCTAATAGACGGAGATGGATTGAGCATGTTTGAACTGAGCACTGACTCCGAGACCAGAGAGGCTGTTATTAAACTGAAGAAGGTAAGGAATGAAAGAAAGAGACTTATAAACTTAGACCTGAAGTAACGTTCTTTTTTTTATGGCCAGTTGCCTCAGAAAAACAAGCTTTAAACACAACAGTGACATAACGTAACATGTTAAATTGACATGAAAAAAACTTGCACTCTTAGCAATTATGGAGCTCTATTACCATTTATTTAGAATCATGTTTCTGGCCACCATGCAAATATATGTTGTAGCTCTGTATTTGAACAATACAAACTCCTGATGTCCTGCTAAATGCTCTATTTTGTTCACCAGCTAGTCATTTAACCTTTCTGGGTTTTTTTGTGGTGGTTTTTACATCTTTTTGTTGAAGAAAAAAGTAATTTCAATATTGAAGTGCTCACATTGAATTACACTCTAATGCTCGGGTATAATTATAATTATATATAATATATAATATATATTATATATGTAAAATTGTTTTCAATTTTAAATTCTTAAAGTCAGAAATCTGGTTTTTATTTTTAGGCCTTATCGCCCAGCACCACATACACAAACAAGTGCTCATGCCCATCCCTATACATTACACTGTTATTAAGGAATATTGATTATATATCCACTTTAAGGAAAGGCCGGAAAGGAAGGATAGGGGAAGGAATGACTTTGGGAGGAGAGGACAGATGTAGTCAAAGGTAGTAATATCTGTTAGGATGCATCAGTATGTGGGGATACATTAACAGTAAGTTTTACCACATAAAAATCCAAATGATAGAGCCGACAATCTGATCCATTTTTATGACAACTGACGATTTACAGTGGGAGGGAAGAAAGTAGAGAGACGCTGGTTGTTATTCCTCTGGTCATGAAAATTTAGTATACATAACATTTGATTAGTAAAGATGAGGGTCAAAATTATTGTAGCAGTTTCTGGTCAGAAACATTGGTCAAAAGCACTATTTGCTGATGGTGGCTGCTTCAACAGCTAGTTCTTATGGAAACGAGTGCGTCATCAACCATTTTTTCAATTTACCAGCACAGAAATGTAGTTGAGACTGCAGTTTTCCTTGAGACAAAGCAGTTTAGTGTGAGGCTCAGCCAGTCCACATTTCAGTCTGTATCCTTATCTGTGTGTTCATGTTGTGTGTTACAAAAGAAAGAAAGGAGGGAAAGGATTGACAGAAGAAAAAGTATGGAGCAGTAAGGAAGAAGCAAAGGGGAGGTTTTGCTGTGTTCCCTTCCCTGACGACCCTCACAGTTTCTTATTATGTTTGATATTAACACTGACTTCCATGCTTGTGTGTGTGAGAGTGAGAGTGCATTAACTTTCATGCTTCCTTAGGCTAGAGAGCTCATCTTCTGCACTGTGACTGTAACTCACACGTGCACACATTCACACACACACAGACACACACTAACTATAGCGTTCAGTGATCCAGCTCAGCACACACAATTACTTTTTCTCACTCTAATGCACGTACACACACAGTCTCTTATTCTCTCAAATACACACACTCAGTCCCTCCATCTCAAACACACACCCACACACACTGCTCTATCAAATTGACATAAACTCACTCACTTCTTTTTCTCTCTCTTAACACACACACACACACACACACACACACATTACTGTACTGTATGTGCAGCTGTAGGTCAGGATTATGAGCTGAATCTTCCACTGAGCTGTGGTAGCCTGCTTTTCCCTGCCGGGGCGCCCGACCTCTGAGTATTTTAGTTGAAAAATAATAGCATTTATAGTTGAGCTATCAATGTGTGGGGGAAATGAGAATAAAATCTAAATCACCACATCAGCCTGTGAAAAAGCTATTGTTTGGTTAGTTATCCTAGAACTTAGAAATAGACATTATAGGTTTGTTGGACATTGAACCCACAGAATTGCACAAAGGCACTTTTTTTTCTTTAAAAGTTCCAGACCATAGCCTTATTTGGTGAAAGGTTTGGCATTCGCATATGTAATTACAGTATGTGCTAAAGAATGATGGCATTCGCGGCAAGCTGCATTTCCTATCCAGACTGCAATGACGTTGCTCAAAAGAGCAGCCAGCCCTAACCCACAGCTCGTTTTTACTGATGCTGTGGGAAAATCTCTGTCTGAATCAATCGATACAAGTCTGTTTCATGCTTTTTCTCACAACCGTCTGCATGAGCGATTCCTTTGGAGCTCAGTGCGAGAGCAAGGCATTAAGACTGCCAGGGTTAGGGGCTCTCTTCCCACTGGTGTCACCAGGAGTTGGACTGAACAGGGAAATAAGTGAATGATAATAATGCTCCCTTTCTTCTCTCAACAAATACAATTTGTGTGCCCTGGAGCAAGGCAGTTAACCCACAGATCAGGCGTCAGCCAACAGTAGAAAACAGTGTGGTTGTACTGGACAGTTTAAACAGATTTGAGGAAGAACTATTAAATAAAATGTAAAAACTGCACATGGGAAGAATCAGAATTTGTGGTTTCCAAAGAGGATCCCTCAAAGAAGTTGTTAGAAACTACTAACTAAATGTAGTGATAAGCAAAGCGGGACTGCCCAATCAAAGTAATGAGAGCAACTGATTACACTCAAGTGGGGCACTATGTTTGTGTGTGCGCATGTGTTTGGCTGCAACCCACCCGAAAGGAAAAAACTTTGCTTGAGAAGTATCAAATGCGTGTGTACACAACTTATGCTCAACTCAATGTAACTAAAACTAGACAGGACCATTGACATCATTGTAAAAACAGTCTGGCACCATACACACTCATACACACACTGACACACGTAGCATAGCTGAGTAAAGCCACGTGCATATGCAGGCTTTAGTCTTTCTGGAAATCAGCTGAACAATAAAATCTCAATCTATTTAATGAAGCACAAGCAGAACCATTTCAGAACATGCAATCATGAGTTCAAGTGCCACAATGGCACAACTAATGAATAAGCTCAACCAACCGTTCAGTTCCTTTAATTTAGCCGGTTCACTTAGTTTTTAACTTAAAATAACTTGTCATATTATTTTTTGATTTTTTTTACAATGCAAGGTGGGGGGGTCAGGATGAAATTATAGTTTGATGCTGATTTTAAGTCTAGTGTTAGTGTGTTTGATAGTCTGAAAGCAAAGCCCCCCGCAGCAGCCGCAGCTAGTATTAGTACGCCTGCAGCCAGCCGAAGTTCAACCTTCCAGGTACAATAAAACTTCATCAACATCTTCAGGTAATTAATTAGCTTTTTTGGATAAGTTGGCTTACAGTTTTAATAGTGTTAGCTAACAAGGCTGTCAACTCACGTGTTGACCGTGAGACTCAAGCAATTGAAACTTTTCCCCACTGTCTCACACAGTTCTCACGCTGTAAAAAACTGATTTATAACTGATAACAGCACAACAAGAGCAGTGACCAGAGTCAGTGTCTGTCCTCCTCCTCTGGCTCCGTGTCCAGGCATTATTCCAGTTTGCAAGCAGTTGTTTGGACTCAGTTTTTACAACTGAAATTAAATTTTTTATTATTACAGAGATAAAGTACTGAAAAAAGGTACTGTTAGGTACCGGTACAGGTATTGATTCAAATGTGAACGGTACCCAACCCTAGTCTAAGGCCACTGAAGGAAGTATCACACAACAATCCCTCTTCATGGATCCCTGTGTCTCTTGGAATAATACCTTAATAGCCTGATGATGATTTGAAGAGAAAGTGTGTGTGTGTGTGTGTGTGTGTGTGTGTGTGTGTGTGTGTGTGTGTGTGTGTGTGTGTGTGTGTGTGGACATAGACAATGAAAGATACTCACATGATGTAAGTCCATTTACTCCTCACAATCTGATTATGGTATCTTTACTCGGATGTGTGTGTATGTGCAAATGTGTGCGTGGGTTTGATTGTTGTGTCTCAATGCCTCTCGGGGGAAATCAACACCTTCTGCCCCCTAAAGGCAGTGGCACACAAAATTAAAGACCAAACACAAACAAACACACACACACACACACACACACACGCACACGCACGCACACGCACACGCACACGCACACACATACACATACACACTAGAACACATGTAGAGACTCGCAACTAAGAACACTTTCAAATCGGCATCAGGAGTAGCCTTCACTAATCTCTATTCTCTCGCTCTCCTTCTCACAAACACACACACGCACACACACACACAGATGAGCTTTAATCAGCTATTCTCTTTCAACTGTGTCCTGACGAAAGCAGTCCACAGAATATTAAGGAGCTGTGTGTGTGTGAGAGAGAGAGAGAGAGAGAGAGAGAGAGAGAGAGAGAGAGAGAGAGAGAGAGAGAGAGAGTAGTGGAGAAAGGCATTATTGTGAATATTATTATCTCACACTGATTACACAAAGAGGGAGAAAAGGAAGAGAGAGTGGATCTGTAGATTGGGAAAGCGAGGGAGAGAGAGAGAGTATGTGTGTTTTTGCGTGTGTGCGTGTGTGTGTGCGTGTGTGTTTCGGGGGGGGGGGGGGCAAAGGAAACAGAGGGAGCATGACAAAAAAGGGAAAATGAAAGAACTGGGTCACATCTATCCTATTAGTATTGTACCTGTCATCACCACGTTAAACACCTACACCGACACCACAGAGTCTGAGGCTGCTGCTGACTGCGTGGATCAATCCACTGAAAGGAAACATCCCTCCAGGAGTGAGTCATTTGGCAGTTGCATCACATGAAAACAGTTCTGAATCTGATAGATTAAAGAGCTACTGCAAGCTGTCTTCAGAGGTGTTAACTGCAGATTATGGGGGCTGGCCACCATGTTTGATTACTGACTACAAAATAAAATATTAATACAATATTCTTGCCCCCACCTTGGTCTCAAATCCTTCTCTGTTACAGTCTTGATTTGCTTCAATGTGCAGTAAAAGACATTATTATGTAGGGCTGCAACTAATGATTATTTTCATTATCGATTAATCTGTCAATCATTTTCTTGATTAAGCGATTAGTTCTTTGGTCAATAAAATAAAATAAAATAAAATGGTGAGAAATGTGTATCAATGTTTCCCTAAGCCCAAGGTGAAAGAGATATGTCAATTTATTTCTTAAAAAAGACTCAAAAAGGTTTATCAATTATCAGCTGTATCCATATCATGCAAAAATCGATCAATTGGCAGCCTCCATCCATAATATTGTTTATCATTGTCTGTAACTAGGGCGGACTACTAAAGGTAGATGATTCGAGTAAAGACCCAGGGTCAACGTAATTTGAATCAATGAAGTTTTGTTTTCTAGGACATTGTAAACAGAACAATGCAGTAGCAAGAGCATGGCAGGCTGCAAACTTTAGAAACTGAGTGTCAAAATGACCACAAACCACAAAACTAACTGTGATGGAAGCCGAGAAACGGGGGGCAGCGCGACACTGGACAATGTGAGGCAGTGCAGCGGGACTCCAGTCAGCCAGCTGCGCTGACGCTCACTGCTCCAGTGAGTCAGTGAAGTCAGCTAAACCACTTCTGAAACGGATGGTGTACATCTAGGCTACTCTACTGCCACCCTCTGTGATTGATTCTTTGGTTGACAGCAGCCCAGCAGCAGAGACGCTCCATGGTGCGCTGGGATTTTATTAGTGAACTATGAGCAGGAAGCACACATTTACTTTCTCTGACTGTGATGTTTTCAAGAAAAGCATTAAAATATGAGTCTTACAGAACATAAGACTCATGTAGGCTGATATAGGAGATTAGTGTGGTTGTAAACTGAAAGACTTAAAGTAAAAACTAATTTTTGTATTAAACAGCCAAATTGGATGGACAAAATTCTGAGTCGGGTACAGCTTTTGGTAATCATCCTAATCACTGGTAACCCCTGGTAAACCTTGTGTGTCAAACTCAAAAATCTACAGCAGTTTCACTCTGCTTTTACAACACTTCACACAGGGCTTATGAGCCCTTTCTCCTCCCACTGGGATTTCATCAAGTGATGGCAGCATGGAGATGAAAAGATCAAGCATGCTCTTGGGATGTTGCCAGTTCAACATCCCCATACTGGCTGGAAAAATAGTGGTGGGGTTATTATCGGGGTTTATAAAACAGCATTGATAGCCAAAATAATGTTTTTTTGACTGTGATTATGGCTACGACGGAGCTTCGGATGAGTGCAAGTCACAGCCAAGTGCTGCTGGCAATGTACAAGTCCTCATAATCATAGCAGAGAGCATCTCTTGGGTATTATAGCTTTTATAGAATGCCTGCCAACACATTTGTTGACTTAAAAGTTTTCCCTGCAGTAGTATACACTCTGTACATAAGAATAGAAGTCAAGAGAAAGAGGAGGATTCGTTAGACATACTCACTGTTTGGCTGAGGGTCATCAGTTTGTAACTACTGTGTGATTTTATTTTATGGCTGAAAGAAAATGTGCTGTGAGAAAAATGTCTGACTTTTTCAGTTTGGGAACTGAACAGCATACCTCAAAGCACACACTCAAGTCAATTCAATATCAAGGCCATTAAAAGTCAATGGGTTTTCTCCCAATATAGAGTAAGTGAATTGAAGCTCAGTTCAATATAAGTGAATTGGATTTCAGGGTTTTACAATGGCCTACATGTGATATTGAAAATCCATGCCAGGGGTTTTAAATGAATTCTTAATTTATGAATTCAATTCATTCAATTATGAGAGGTGTGACAAATAAACTATACAGGAAAAAAGGAAAAAAATCTGAGTAATTGACTGTAGTTCTCGAGACCTGGGACTTAAATGTCATCTCCCAGCCTGCAACCCAAAATGCTTTCTCCTACCTTTAATTATGTGGTATCCCAAACTCCTAACATAATCCTGCCTCATTAAAAACAGCATTGTTTTCATATAATGATGAAAACAGACCAAGAGAAACAACCAAATGGTTCATTCATAATTCATTGTGGTACCAGACTACTCATATCATATCATGAAATAGCATGCAATACAAACTGTCGTAAGGTAAAAGTCAGCATTTGGGTTTCTCTTTTTTTTTTGCTCTGTAATAGTAGTGGTAATAGTTTGACTTTCCATGCAAGTGATAATGCCTGTTTTCATTCATGTAACAACAGCTCCCCCTACCAGAAGACAAAGATACAGCACTCGTCACTCACTGCAGTTCTCAAAGCCGGTGTCTGCAGTGCATATTTAGTGCATTTCTTTCAGCATTCAGATATCATTATACTGCAAAAAGATAATATACCCTTGCATATGTGTTTACAGTTAATCTTAAATTAAACAGGGATGCTTTTGATTTGAGATGAACTGATTAAGTGTCTGTCTCCTCTCTTTTTTCTCTTTCAGTCAGTGGACTTTGAGACAAAACGGTCGTATACTTTGAAGGTGGAGGGATCCAACCCTCATGTTGACCCTCAATTCCTCGCTTGGGGGCCTTATAAGGACGAAGCCACTATAAAGGTATACATGTAAAAAAAAAAAAGAAATGTGTATCTGTTCATGTTAATGTGAGAGGAAGAGTGTGAGTGCATGTATTTGACAGCACAGTGTGTGTTTATGTATGAGAAACAGAGCTTGCATGTGTTTATTTGTGTGACGAGATAATATCACAAGAGCCTTTTAACAATTCTGTGTTTGCGTGTCTGTAGATATCAGTGGAGGATGCAGATGAACCCCCTGTGTTTGTAGCTCCCAGTTACACTTTTGAGGTAGAGGAGAATGCGCCTGAAGGCACCCTGGTGGGACGTGTCCACGCCAAGGACACTGATGTTGCCAACAATCCTGTCAGGTAGCACAAACCCAGAGACACACTCTGTATACACACACAATCACATTTAGCAAGTCAGGCTTGTAGCAGTGGGAGAAGCTGAATTTTCACACAAGTGTAAATTTGCATGGAGCCTTGCCAAAAAAACCAACAACTTTTAAATAGTGTTCCTTCAGCTACTCTCAACAAACAACATGAGTCAGAGAAGCTTGGCTTTATACTCATATGTCTTATGCAGAAAACACAGATTACACATAAAAATTTATTACAAAAGCATAACCCATCCACATTTTATAAAAATCAACTCAAATACAATCACTGGGTCTTTAAACATAAATTAACTCCAGAATTTAGACTTAGTAGGTATAAAACAAATACATGCCTCCCAGTTTCCTATATACTGTGATTATACATTACATATACATACAGCTGTAAACTGACAAAGTTTCTTTTGGTAGCCAAATTATCTCCACAATAATCTAACTGAAAGCTCAACATGCCCACACCATCTTGCAGCTGCTATTTGCTTTTATGGATATGACCACATTTTGAGAGTGTTAAAGTATCTAACGTCTTAAAATACAATATGTAAATGTGCTCTAATACACATCTGGGTATAATTTGTAGCAATGTAATTTCCTTCAGATCTCTTAATGCTAATGTGTAATTGCACAGTTACTTATGTGTTCTAATTTTCTGTATAGGTACATGATCCCTCGGTATACAGATGTAGAGCAGTTCTTCAGCGTAAACTCAGAAGACGGCATGATTACCACGACAAGACCGCTGGACAGAGAAGCACAGGCCTGGCATAATATATCTGTGTCAGCCACAGAGATAGGTATGCACACTCATACACACAGACAACATTTTAAAAGAATTGGGACTCAGTCTGATGTGTGTGGGCCATCGTGGTATGAGCTAAGAAAGAATTTTAACTGACTCATTACGGTGCTGAATCCACACTCATGCCTATTACCTTTGAATGTGAAGGGACACAATGACTATGCAACTGTCAGCCTAATTTACTGATATTTTCAGCCAGTTTCAAGAGAACAGTCCATCTTGGCTGTGTGGTATTTGTGCTACTGAAATGATGAACAGTATATATGGATATAGGATGCAGAGACAAAGTCAAAGATGGACAAACAGATGGAAAAATCCCAGACAGCCACAAGGCTGTATATTTGCTGGCATCCAGAGCCCAACCTGTCATTCTGCGGTACTGGATACACTCCATGACATCTTATGTACAAGATTTAAGTGGATTCAAACTGCTGCCTTTAATTTTTTTCCCCTCTGGGTGGGACTTAAGTTAGCATTTTGCTGTGAATGTCAGCAAAGAAGTGGCTAGACCTTGGTAAACTGATTATATATTCAGTTTCAGCCACAAGGGATTAGTTTTATGCAGATTCTAGGTGATATTTTTTCAGTGACTGTATCCAGCTGTAACCCTGGTTAGTGTCTAGTGTCTTGTGTCAATGACCAATGCATGTAACTGTTACATTCATGTGCAGTTTTTCCACATGACATCTCATGTTGCTTTCATGTAATGTTTTGGTCTGAAAAAAACAATCATGAATCTGCTGTGTGCAGTTCAGTGTATAAATTATCTGATATCTGGGTAGTAAATAGACAAAAAAGACTCAAAAATCTGACAAAATATAAGAAATCTGAAGGCTGACTACAAAGATTGTAACTGTTTGCTTTAATTTAGTAGTTTATCTTTTAATAGTTTAAGTAAGTGAAGTGGTTACAATATAGACGGTTGATAGGTAGATGCTCAGTGACACAAAAACTAACCCCTGATGCAGAGAAAGAAAAGTGAAAAACTAAGTGAAGAACTGTTGTAAGTCAGTAAAAACAGTTGACGCACCACTAAAACTTAGAACTGTCCATCTCCACCACAAACACTCTTGCTAACTATACAGAGAGAGAGGGGAAAAAAGAGGGGAATGCCAGGCGACCCACAAGCCCGGAGCTTTCTCTCTCCGGCTTCAGCCCCACAAACCCTCCAGCCAGTGAGCCACAGAGGCCCCACCCTGGTATTCTGTGGTTGGAGCTCGACTAGCAGAGCGCCGCGTGGTTTCCCTGTGGCGTGCTAGACGCCAGACGGCCAGATGGAAACGGGCTTGCCGCCCACAAAGCTATGACCATTGCAGGCTACGCTAACCGCTAACAGGCCCTGGGAAGCTAAATAAATGCCTCGTAATGACAGGGTAGTGGAAACATCATACTGACTAGAATTGCAAATATGTAAGAGAGTACGGTGTAGAAATGGACGGTTGTTTTTTTTTAGTTTTTAAGGAGAATGGCTGGATAGAAAAATCCACTGTTCTCTCTCAATCTTTTCTAGTTAATATTCTGAATGAATCAGGAGTTCAGGTTTGCTATATGTGTCTGTTTTGGCTGTTTATACATAATTCTGTCTGCATTACACCATTTTCTCTTCATTTGAATCTCCAGCAGGCAGAACTTGACATTTGTCACTTTTGCATATCAAAATGGTTTTGGCAAAAAGCGTGGGAGCAGCCTAACTGAGTGGCACACTGTCTGACTGGATATTTTGATGTCTCACAAACTCATGTCTGTAATTTTTGCAAATCAAAATAACAAATAGCTGGCTGAGTGGCTGATTGATTGACAGGCAATCTTGCTGGAAAATATTCATAGTTGGCTTTGTGTTCAGCCAATACCAAACATGGATTAGAATGCAGACAGACAAGCAATCACACATACACATTCAGGCACAAATGACATTCTTCCTTTAATGACTTTGACATTGCTTTGAATTCTTGTATACAACAGAATGCTGATGGTTTTGGCCTATACTTTGTGTGTTTGTGTATATGTATGTGTGCAGGAGGCCACCACCAAGACACCAAAGTGCGTGTAAACATCAAAGTGAAAGATGTGAATGACAACTCCCCAGAGTTTGCTACCAACAACGAAGTCCTCATGTGTGAAACTGTTGCCCCAGGGAAGGTACGTTAGTCTGTATGAGTGTGTGTGTGTGTGTGTGTGTGTGTGTGTGTGTGTGTGTGTGTGTGTGTGCATGTCTGCCTTATGGAAGTGAATGTATATAAACGTTTTAGGGGATGTCCCACAAACAGTATTTTGCATTAGTGTGTTTCTGTGTGTGTTTCAGGTTATTGAAACAGTAAGTGCCGTGGACAAAGACGAGATGGCTCACAGACAACACTTCACATTCAGCCTCGCTCCGGAAGTCGCCCACAACCACAACTTCTCCCTCAAAGACAACAGAGGTAGATGACCTTTAAAATATTATTTTTCTTTATTTGTCCTGCCTCTTTCGTTTCTTTTCATTTCTTTCTGTCTAACCCCTTCTACCAGCCTATCATGTTTCTTCATCTGTGGTCTCTTTCTCTCCCCCTCCTCCCTTTCACTCAGATTAGATCAAAGCATAACCAGATGGAGGCTTACACTACCTTGTAGAAAGCAGCAGGTGCTCTCTCTCTCTCTCTCTCTCTCTCTCTCTCTCTCTCTCTCTCTCTCTCTCTCTCTCTCTCTCTCTCTCTCTCTCTCTCTCTCTCTCTCTCTCTCTCTCTCTCTCTCTCTCATATACACACACACAAATGCACATGTGTCCTGCGGGTTGTATTAATTGCAGTGGGGTCTCTGTCCGTCTGTACATATATCTTAGGGGGCCAACTGATTGAAAAAAAAAAAAAAACGGAAGAAGGAAGAATATAGGTATAGCTATAGCTGTAGGAGACTGAACACAAATGTAGAAATGAGAATTCTACTGAGGTGACTTTCATACAACAACCACGGATCTGAGTGACCTAGTGGGTGTATTTTTAATACACAGGAGCAGCAGTACATCCCTGTGTATCAGCACCATAGGGTTGACAGACAGATAGATAAATAGATAGATAGATTAGATAGATTAGATAGATACGGGGAGCCACACATTCCATCTGTCCACATACTCTCAGATACACACACACACCCACACCCACACCCACACCCACACAGAGACAGCTGTCAGGGAGTACCAGTGTTGGCAGGAGGCTGATAGCAACAGATGACAGTGACATCAGTAACAGAGAGTGTTGGGGATTACCTTCGCTCTCTTTTGGGGTGAAAAGTTTTAGTGAGCCCTTCTGAGTTTTTTTGTTTTATTCGTCTCATTTGTTTGCTTTAATTTCTTCTGGTTTTGTCTTGTATTTTTACATACAAGTGTTGCATCATTCTTTCAAGCACTTTGTTGTCATTTGGAATAGTACTCTGTAAATAAAGAGGATTATTGGTGAAGAGAAGAAAGTATTTTTTTTAGTATTTTAATACTAAAAGTATTTGGTCTTATTTTTTGGTAATAGAAAACAAGTTGCGGCTGAACCTGCAAAAATGTATGGAAACATTACAGCTTTTAGGTTAAAAACAAGGACAAAGTTTGAGTTAAGGTTGGTGCTAAAAGATAATAAATAAATGCAGCCAGTGGGCGCCCTCACAAGTAGAATAATACCAGTAAATGTGTGTTTGTTAAACATAAACGTTTGTCCAAGAGTAAATCTGTGTACATTTAATGTAATCCGCCAACAACTATTTTCCTGATATTGCTGATAAGTACTGTATTCAGGGCAGTGTTTCACTTATATTCCTCTCTGTAGCTTTCATATAAATGTTAAAGATTGCTTGCTTGGTGATGAAGCTTCTGAAATGCCTCCCAAGTACCTCATCTCTTCCTTCGTCTGCAATAAAGCTTATGTAACATTAGACAATAGTTGTTTAGATATGGAGGAAAAGAGAGGCAGACAGAAACAGAGACAGAGCTAGCCCATGTCATAACAGCAGTCACAGTGCCTATTAATTACATTTTAACAGGAATTTAATACCACCAAAGTCATACCTCATTGGCTTTTGTGTGTGTGTGTGTGTGTGTGTGTGTGTGTGTGTGTGTGTGTGTGTGTGTGTGTGTGTGTGTGTGTGTGTGTGTGTGTGATGAAGTCCAAGCTATGATAAATGTCTGAACACAAGTTTGGTATTGGCAAACTCAGCAGTATGAACTTCCTGCCTTTTATGTTCTCCTGTTCTTTGGTAGTTTAAAGAGAGTATATTTCTATCGTTTCACTGACTCATCTTTCTATCTACTTAACAACTTACTTCTATCTCCCTCCACAGACAGCACAGCCAGTATCTTTGTGCTCCGTAAAGGATTCAGCCGTCTTACCCAGGATGTTTACAACCTTCCCATCGAGATAAATGACAACGGTTTCCCCGCTATGAGCAGCACCAACACCCTGACCATCAGAGTGTGCTCCTGTGACAGCAAAAACACCATCCTCTCCTGTAATGTGGAGCCCTACGTCCTACCCGCTGGTCTCAGCACCGGGGCGCTGATAGCTATACTGGCCTGTATTGTCATTCTGCTGGGTAAGGAGATATCATTTAGCTTGTTTTGATTTGTTAGGGTTGGGAACACCATGAAGGATTACTGATTTACATAAGATTCCCCTGTTGTGACATAAAATTCCAATTGGTTGTCCAATTAAGATTATCCAGCAGTGAATTCACAGAATGAGTCTCTCAAGTCTGTCAACTCGCTGTCCCAATAATGCCAAACATGCCTGATATTCACAGTGGTTAAATGTGGGGAAATGAGTCATGTTGCCAAACTACATTAATGTCCTAACTGGAGGTGCACTGCATTGTTTGAGCTCCTGGAGTCCCTTGTGTATCAACAACTACAGTATCTTGCATAATAATTTAATTTGGGCACACTGTTTAAACAACAATCTGTTTAGTTTTTTTGGGTGAAAATGTGTATAATGTTTTAGAAGTCTTCAATTGTGGCTCCAACCTTAGTTTTCTTCTTCAGCCTAGTAACCCACATTGCAGTAGTTTCCCTTTTCATATACAGTGTATATATAGTATATATATATATATATATATATATATATATACATACTATATATACACACTGCAATGTAATTACACATAGTGTCCTCACAGTTGAAGTTGACCCATAGTACTAGAAAACTAAAAACCTTTTAGAAGCCTGACATGTTGACAACCACCTGCAACTAAAATGGCATGTGTGTTTAGCACAATACAATAATGATATTAATTAAACTGTCCAAGGTCTAATTACACTATCTCCCACTGTGCATACTAATTATCTAATGCTCACTTTCCTTGCTTTTCCAAAGAGATTGTGTGAGGATCGTTATGTAATCACTACACGCAGAACAATTTTTGAACTGCGTTTGTGTGTTTCTCTTTGGCAGCAATAGTGGTGTTGTTTGTCGCACTGAGGCGTCAGAAGAAGGAGCCATTGATAGTGTTTGAAGAGGAGGACATCAGGGAGAATATTATCACGTATGATGACGAGGGAGGTGGCGAGGAGGACACTGAGGCTTTCGACATCGCTACACTGCAGGTATGAAGAAGGGCACCTCCATGTATTTTATTCTGTTCTAGTTGAACGAGATAATAGGTACAGTAATTCTGTTCATATTGGTTTTTTGTCAACATCTGAACACGATGCACCTCATCCGCCAGCTAATAAATGCAATTCTTCTTCAACTCTTTCTCTACAACTTTTAAAAGCTCTCTTTACTGTCTTTTTTTATCTGACTGTTAAAAATTTTAAAAGCAGGGTGTTCTATTTCTAATTGTTCAGAACCCAGACGGTGCCAACGGTTTCCTGCCAAGGAAGGACATCAAACCAGAGCTTCAGTATCCCATCAGGCCCGGCAGTGGCCGTCCTGCGGCCAACAGCGTCGATGTTGATGACTTCATTAAGACTCGAATTGCAGAGGCTGACAGCGACCCAACTGCACCTCCTTACGACTCTATTCAGATCTACGGATACGAAGGCAGAGGATCATTGGCTGGGTCATTGAGTTCCCTCGAGTCTGTCACAACAGAGTCTGACTTGGATTATGACTATCTGCAGAGTTGGGGGCCGAGGTTTAAGAAGCTGGCAGATTTGTACGGGACCAAAGACTGCTCCATTAATGATGGGGATGATGGTGAAGACTCTTAACAGTGGTCTCACTGAGTGGACGCCCCCGATTTCTGATTTATTGATTCCATGAGGATTTGTTAACTGAGGGTTAACACTCCCCAATACCCAATTGTTACCAACTACCACCTGATCAGTTCATGCCAATTTGTCAACAGACGTTAACAGCTCTCCCTCCCATGGCGCCTCCCTGGTCCTCCAAGATGATTTGTTAATGAACACATAAAGAACACTTGGACTCAAACGGCTCCCAGTTTTTCCCAAATTCCCCCCCCCCCCAATGTCTCTTTCCCAGCTCTCTTTCTACAGACTTGAGCATTGCAGGGCTGGGAGATTTATGTCACCAGTTTGTTGGTTTGAAAGTAAATCATTGGGATAAAAAATGTTGCTGTATGATCAAAATGACTTGCTTATAGCTAACTGTTTAGTTTATTAGAGGTTCTATATACTTTTGTGGACTGGATTCACGTACTCCCTCAATGGTTCCTGAGAGAAATGTCATTCCCTTCACAGGTTCCTGAGCGGGGTATATTTCCCTTAGTTGCTCTCTTTGTGGTGTATGTAGAGGACACGCATAAAGAGAGGCAGAGAGAGATACAAGCAAATGTTAGTATGGGATTCAGCTACAGCCTGGTGTTAAGAAAGAGAAATAAACGGTAATGAAGACGTGTCAGTAGGATCAAAAACAGTTGAAACAAAACGCTTTGTCAAATTTGCTGTTGTGTGTGTAAAATTCAGCAGGTACTGTGGTTTAGATAGCGTGACAGACTCTGGGTTGTTGATACTTTGAAGACGCTCACAGCATCTTCACAGTATGGTGGCCTTATAATAAATAAACAACAACTCCAGGGGATACTCAACAAGTGTAACGATAGAGACCGCTAGCTTCAGTAGCTACACACAGACAACTGAACACAAGAGGACTGAGTATCTGTGAAAATGCTACACAAATACCTTCTTTTTTTTTTTTTCTCCCAAAAAGAGACAGACTCAAAATGGATTCACTTTAAAAACTGTGGATGATTCTTTGTTTTCATTCTTCACTGCAGAGGAGACGTGAAAAGAAAAGCTGCCCTTCTCCCCGCCCCAGCCCCAACCACGCCCATGTGTCCCCATTCCTCTCATCAACAATCACTTCCCATACCGAGTCCACCAATGAATGATCACTTCCTCATTCAGAGTCCACCAATGATGATCAATCACAATGAGTAAAAACCTGTGAGCTCTAAAAATCGCCTTAAACTTAATGGACACTCTTGCAACGCAGTGCATTCTCTTTTTTTCTCCTTCGTTTCTTTTTGTAACTTGAAAAGTATATTCAGAAAGCAAACTATTCTCCATGTTAGGTATGTACAGAACAATGTGCAAACATGTGATATATCACTTTTGAGGATCCAACTTGCGCCTCGTGCACTCCTAAAACAGAATGTGCTGTTTCTGCCCGCACGGTAAATGTAGACCGGGAAAATGTGCGTTGTGTTTTTTCCCAACACCAGCTATGTTGGCAGCAACATCTGTTGTATCAACATGTGTTGCTATTTAAACATAAAATGTGCACATTGGAAAATAACACAAGGTGTGTTTTCTGAGCCACATATACAGAGAGGCTGGAACCAGAACATCTTGTTTAAGTGTGTCGATTCTTGTTCAATCTCTTTTTTAATGTTATTATATTATTATGATTATTATTGTTGTTTTTTATTACTATTATTATTATTATTATTATCATTCTGACAATAATTGTTATTTCTTTGGCTGCAGCTACACAGGAACAAATTCGTGTTTAACTATTTGCAGCTCAGATTTGATGTTCTTATGGCTGTCTAAACACATCTTTGGAAAGCTATAAGAAACAAACTGCCAAAAGTTAAATATCAGCTTTGGTTTATGCCTGTGTGAACACAACCTCTTTTAATTCTTTTGGTTTTGTTTCTTTTCTTTTTTAATTATTTGGCGTTTCTTCGTTCTTTCTCCCTGTTCAAGAGGAAAACTAGCAATCTGTGTTTGTTGCAGTGAGAGAACGCCTCGTTTTTATTCTCTGTCAAGTTTTATGGTACCGATTTGTACAATTTTAAAAGTTCTTATTTTAGTATACATGCAGAATATTCCAGTATTACAACAAAAACATGTTAAGAAGATAAGATTAAAAAAATGTTACAGCATCACACTTATATTTTCTGAACATTGTACTGTTGCTTTACTATGTGCTTCAATCTCCGAAGCGAAAAAAAACTTTGAAATAAATGCTCTTTTTATAAAATGATACTGTGTGTGAGTTTGGGTACGAGGCACTGCTTACATTTCTACTGAAAGGGTACCGATTAACTGAAGCAGTCGGGTGATCTTGTTGGGATCCATGCATGGCTCCCAAAACATAAAAAAATAGTAAATGTGTGAATGCTGGGCCAACAAAATGTGAAGGAGCAAATGTAGTCCGTCACCTGTGGACCCAAATTCAATCAAATACATGATACTCATAAAACTAGGGGTCGTTTTAGTTTTACAAACCCATTCAATTCTGACTTTATTTCACTCATCTTACATATAGGACAGTTTTTGTCCTATAAAAACAAAGTAGACCTTCAGACCTCAACCCTGTGTGACAAAATGCAGCGCCCACATTTATTTGTTTGTGATCAGTCTGGCAACACACCAAAACCTCACACACTAAACCTTTACTGCAGCACAATGTCATCCAGCCAGGTTTTTCCTCCTGCGATCTCTGTGAAGTGGAGCTGCAGCAAATTGAAAACTGTTTACTACAGTTTTCCTCTAACCCTAACATTAATTTGGGCACAGCCCGTAAGTAACAGGTTAAATTAAGTAGAATTTGTTTTATTTTAAAGAAAATTTATCTTAATCTTAATCTTGGCCTATTAACATAAGAAGCAGAGAGTGAAACTGTCGATGTCCGCAAGTACAAATAATATTGCTGTGCATGTATTTATCAACCACAACAACAAATGTACATTTGATCATTAACAGGCTGTATGCTGATATTAGAATTCTGTTGGCAGCTCCGGAAAAGATGGACGCAGACTGTAAAGATCACTGCAAGTCAGTTCCTCTTTGCGTCTGTTAAAACTGCTTTGAAGTGTCATACTGCGCAGCTGATTTCTACTCCACTGTCGAGTTTCAAACAGAATACACACCCAGGTTTTGCACGATGTATGGGAACCCTGGCTGCACTGCCTGGAAGGAATTTAATGTTTCAGTGATACCTGAAACAACACTCTCCCACCAACGTGGCATCAGGACCTTATTTTCTGCCACTGTGGGCACAACAGATATTAGGACAGATTATTCGGGAATTGTGCTTTTTAGCAATCATCGATAAAGCCATTGGCCCAACAAACTAACCTTTGGACAGACATTTCAGTATTCATTCACCTCCATTGTAAAGAAATGCTGTGTGCAAACCCATTCACACAAAGTATACAAACAGACACATACACACACACCGATTTCATTCACTCACTGCCAGGAAAGCAACACTGAGAAAGGTCAGGCTGCAGTTTGGATGAACAACAAAAGGTGATATAGAAAGAGAGAGAGACAGTGAGAAGACACCAAGGAAGACGTGAAAGGAAAGAGGGGAAACAGATCGGAGTAAGCAGGGGGTGGGAGAGGGGAGAGGGGAGAGGAGTGAGAGGACTGGTACAACAAAATGCCTTACACCGTGGTACAGTTATATTACTGAGATTTGTTAGAGGACATGAGAATGTGACAATGTCTCTACTGAGCTCATCTTGCACACGTCTGCCATATCTGGCTTGAATTTTGTGCAATTAAAAGCAGTTCTTCTTAGAATACAGCATTTGAAGATTTTCATAATCAGTTTATCTGCTGATTATTTTCTCGAATAAGAACAATACTCAAGATAATTCCCCAACGTTTACATGTTTACGTTGCTTGTTTTGTCTGATCAACGGCCAATAACCATAAAGATATTTGGTTTACAACCACAGAATATCTCCTGTATCAGTGAAAATTACATTATGTTTTTCACCCAAAAAGTTTCCTCAAAAAGAAACACAAATGGTGATTTACCTGCAGTAAAATGAAATCAAATGAGTGTCAAACAATAAGAGGTAAATGTATGTCAAAGCAAGCCTACTTTTCATGCGACTAGCCAATGAAATTATTCAACTGTTCTGGTCAACTGGTCAGAAAGTGTTTTTGTGGTTGTGAAGGAAAGTTAAATATATTCTGGTTTTCCCTCTTATGTCCTGTGGCTTCTCTGCTTCAACTCTCCAGGATTTACATTTTGCTGATTGACAAATAGCTTTACTTGTTGCTATTAGCTAACCACTAATTGTTGCTAACTGCGTACAGACTGGGAGCTTCAGGCACTGGCAGTACCGGCAGTCCAAAGCTCCTGTATTAGAGACATAATGTTAACATTGACACTGCCGCGGTGCTCTGAGGTCACATAATAGGACCGCCAAGTTAGCTGCAAAGCTAACCAGCTAACAGCAGTTGCAGTTAGCGGCTAAAGTAGCTAACTGTTAAGCTAATACTTGTGTCGTTTCTGACCTGATTAACAGTAAATTCATTAAATTTACTGCAACATATCGCTATTGTCCAAGCTAAGTTACTCAAGTTGTTATTCCGTCAAGAGCACACCGGCAAGAGAACGATGTTATGTTCACAAGCACTGGGTGCAACCCCCCCGAGCAGGCTTCTGCGAAACTGGCCAATCAGAAGAAAGTGGGCTTTTAAGGAGGGGTAGGCTTAAACAGAGACAGACAGAGGATGGATTGAGGGGCTGAATGAGGAGCCAGTATAAGATAAAAAAGCCGGTATAGGATAAAAAATGCTAATTTTGAGGAGTGAATCATGCAAAGCTACTCTAGTGGAGTCTCAGTCTAAGAATATAGACCTGGAAATGAGCAAAATAGCTCCCCTTTAAGACTGAATATTCTCTGTAGTGTCTCAATCAGTCCAACTGCATCTCTCTGCTGCAGTCCAAGCTTGAGAAAAGTAGTATATATAAATAATATAATCAAGTTTATTGAGAGAAAAGAAAAAAGACATAAGCTGCTGAACCTTTCCACTGCTAACCATAATTAAACATGGAACAAACATGGGAGAAGACAGGGAAGAAGACAGATATATAACTGTGCATAATAAATGCATAATTAGCTAAATATGTGAGATGAAAAGAAGTGTAAATACAAGAGGAAGAAAGAGCAAGAGGAAAGGATAAAAAAAGAGTGAACATTTGCGCCACCTGCTAACCGTGGTGCCACTGGGGAAGAGGAAGGTGGAGAGAGGAGGAGGGAGGAGAGGTGAACTTCTGCACCTGACTGAGAATTTATTTTGCTGTGTCCCACTGGGAGAGACAGAGAGAGTAGATACAGGGAAATCGAAGGAGAATCAATCAGAAGAAGAAAGAGGACAAGTAAACTATTGTGTGTATCAGCTAGAGGTGAGAGAGGGGAAGGAAGGAAGACAGAAGAGGATGTGTAAAGGAACGAGTTTGAGAAGCTGAAACGCAGAGGATGCAGCAAGAGGAACTGAACTTTTGCACCTGTTCATACAAACTTAGCATCTCCACCCGGGAGGAAGACAGATGCAAAGACAAGGACAATCAGGTGTGGCTGGTTCATGAAAGAAAAAAGCTAATAGCTAATGGGCAAAATGCGATCTTATCAGAGAGTGTAATAAGATACTGTATCTTTGCAGTTTAAACAGCCAACAGCAGGCTGTTACATCAACCATCGCATTTGTCATTTCAAGTGTAGCTTCTTTTGAATGGCCAAGATGGAAGCTTAATGATGGAGTTTTGTTTGTGTGTTTTTTTGTCATGACCATACTTGTGTTTGTCAGTACCTTAGGAGAAAAAAAATACGACGGAATGCAGCAAAAGCAAATATGAAAATAAATAAATGATGAATAAATGATAATCAAATTAATACATAATTGGGTGACAATAGCTCTACGGCACATTCATTGTCTTTAATGCAATACCCGACTAGTTAAACATAGAAATTAAAATATTTGCTATTCATTCAGGATTTTTTACTGAGAGGAAGATGAAAGGAACGTTTAGGCGTTTAAAGGTATTTTTTGTCGAAAAAAAGATTGGACTAATTATTATTCAAATTGTCCTCAAACATGAATTAAGTGTAAGTAGTAACAATACAACTGCAAAGTGGTGAGGTTAGTGTGAAACTAAATAGTGACCACCAAACTTTTATAGTTAGTGAACTTACTATATACTTTATAGTATAACTCTTTCATCTTCATCCCTGTTCCTCTCTCTGCTGTGTGTGCGGTTTGTGTATGACACTGGTGACAGTCCTCGTTATCTAAAGCCTTAAATACCTAAACACCATGAGTCCCTTAGGAGCCAGACTCCATTCTGCTCTACAAAATCTCATCAATGGACACTGAGAGAGAGTGTTTGTCTGTGCGTGAGGGGACAGGATGATTTTGAGGGTATGTGTGAGGGTATGTGTGAGTCCATGTGTGCTGGATATAAGAGACAATGTTAACAGCAAAATCCTTTCACACTCAGGTTTGTTTACCTTTGTTTGTGATGTAGTAAAGTGGCATCATTAGTATTCATGTCAAAAATCGGGTAGTTTGGCGTGATCTGCAGCTCACACTCTTTCAGGTGCCTCATGTGGAGAACAAGCTGCTGCTTTGTCTCTGCATGGTAATTCCTGTGTGTGTGTGTGTGTGTGTGTGTGTGTGTGTGTGTGTGTGTGTGTGTGTGTGTGTGTGTGTGTTTGAGTCAGGCCTTTTTTTTTTTTGTTTTTTGTCAGTTTTACACCATACGAATTTTGAGATATTCTTAGAAAACATTTTGATGTGTTTGAGTGTTAAGACTTGGTTTTAGGATTAGATGGGTGCCCCTGTAACTTATGGCTTAAGATATCAACCATAAACCAGTGATAAAGGATTTAAATGTCCACAAACTATGTTGAAAATAATTTGGTTTAGTCAAAGTTAATTAGTTAGTTGGATCATGGTCATGACAAAATAAGAATGAATGCTGACAACTACTAAGAAGCAAACCCCAAGCCCCCAAAAACCAAAAAAAATGAAAAAAAAACCCCCCCAAAAAAAAACAAAAAAAAAAAAAAAAAAACCCTTTTTAAAAAAAACAAAAACAAAAAAATATATTAAAAAAAAATTTTTTTTAATAAATTAAAAAAAAAAAAAAAAAAAAATTTTTTTTACAAAACTAAAAAAAAAATTTTTAAAAAAAAAAAAAAAAATTAAATTTTATTAAAAAAAAAAAAAAAAAAAAAA